TCACAGTGTGTGCAGCCTGTCTCCATTTTCTGCTGCGCATTTGATATGTAATAGTTTCTTGACTGGTTTGTTGTAACAGTTCCTTGTTGTTTATCTATTCTGGTTGGTTGGTTATATAACCTTTTGTTTTCAGAGATGGAAGATGTTGTGAAAAGCGTACAACCGGTTGGAAACACTATTGGCGATGTGTGCAAGTCTGTTCCATAGAGAAGCATTGACTAGACACCAGTGTTAGAAATTCGAAACTTATTCCTTGTGCTAATTGATATGGATATCTACAGTGATTTCAGAGTAGTGAACGTCGGTCCTACTTCCTCGATCCTGGTTTTGGCATCCTCATCAGCCCTTCCCTCTCCTGTAGCTGTACCGATGCCGATTACGCAAGTGAAAAGTGTCTTCCTTTAGATTTCTCCCACTGATTGTGGCTGGTACTACTTCTTGTTGTTGGTAGAGAATCTTCATGACCGATGTTATTTCTGTATTCAGCTGAAGTCCTGTTTTGTTGTCCTCTTCTACCAACCTGTCAGTGTTCCTCATTGTTGAGTCCACAACAGTTAGGGATATCATGAATGGTAATGGGCAATCCCTTTTTATTCTTATCTTCACTCTGAACTACTTGGTGAGTTTTTCGTTGTGAATTCCTTGGCATATGGCATCACAATATAATAGTAGAGGGCAAGACACGGAAGCAAAGGGATATTTTTCATTGATCGAACCGCTACTTAAATATATATATATATATATATATATACAGTTTTTATTCTTTAACCGATCACTGAGCATGTGATTTCAGTTTACATTAAATGACATGAAATAGAATTTTTAAATATATATGTAGTATTCTGTTGCTAATGCAGTATGGAACTGTGGGAATATGTGAGAATGATACTCAGTTGGAACACATGTCTGTATCAAACCGCCACAACAATACATAAATGTTTGTGACACTACAGTGTGTAGTGTTGAAGCAGTTGCTAATTTGCTCCACGGTTAACAAAGTTGAGGTAAAGAGTTGTTTGCCATCCTAAGCTCTTTTCTATGATAACGTCTTGTCTTGCAATTCCATCCGCGCATGATTTATCTCCTGCTTAATCTAGTCCTTTCTAAGTAAAGTTTTCCATCCAGTGCATCTTTTATGCTTCGCAGAATTATGCAGATAAATATTTTATTTATGCTGGACAGGGGCATGATGCCATGCCAAGATCAAACTAAAAGGTCGAAATAATAATGAATATCAATAAGGTGAAAAAGGGATAATAGTACATTAATACTGGTAGCAGAGTCAGATTTACTTAAGTGGGTTTAGTTTCATAACAAATTGTTTATGCATACATAGTTATGTTAACCTTTTATTCTGACTTATGTTCATCTTCTTATCCCTTGGCTACTAATTATTTCCATACAAATTCCAACAATGTGTACGTGTGGTCAGATTTCGCGAAGTGTTCTGTGCCAGTACACTCACCACACGATTTACATAAGTTACTACCTCTTAGCATTTTGTTGTAATTTCACAAAGCAAATTAATAATGTCAAATTTAGAAGCTAAACAGTCTATCAACCGTGGTATCGGATTCTAAGAAAATAGAGCACACTATTTCGTTTGATGGAAGTGAGGTTCTTTATTAAGATTTTGTGCCTTATAAAGGAAGACTAGCTTCCTAACCTTTGCATACATGAAATAATCCGTGACAACTTTTTTTTTATTGAGAAGGCATGATATTAGTTGATTCTTGACAAGTTCTCATTATTGCAGAAAAACTACAGCATTGATGGTGATATTCGCTTCCAGCTTCATCTTCATTTAACTCCTGTCATCAGTAACCCTATATAGACCGTGATTATTATCGACTATATTATTGTTTGTTTTTCTGCGATGTGTTTAACAGACACTATAACGGAAACGTTCTACAGATAGTTGATCTTGAATCTTAATAAGATGACGTCAAATCATCTACTCACGCATTTTGTTTCCTCATTCTTCTTTCGCCTTACACACACACACACAAACATACAAACATAAGGCCTATATAATCACAGAAGGATTCTTCATACATTTAGTGAAAAGAATGATTGTGAGAAACAGTTAGAAATTTCCTATTGTTTACCAGTGTCTGCTTATGATAACTTCACATGCCTGGCTATTTGATAAATCAAATATATTTGGAAAAGAAAAGATTATCTACGTGTTTACCCAATTTCATTTATTGGACTGTGATGTTTTGACTTTGGTTATTTTCTTCAAAGGAACATGATCTACATTGTAAGAAGGTATATTAGAAGGAGTCAATGGTCAGCAAAACAATCGGAATATTTTATTTCAAAATGCTCAGATTTGTACAGTTATAATTTACTTAAGAATACCTACTGTATGGTCGGAAAACAATATATTTTTTTGAATGCATTATTGAATCTCCATGTAAATTTACTCCTTATCTTTAGTCCATGAAAAATCCCCATCCAAAACACGTAGTTCAGCGAAGAGCTTCTTTTCGGCGGCGAATTCATTCACTTAGCTGTGCAGCCACAGTTATATGCATACTTATTTTTGTACGTGTGCATGTGTGTGTACAGTAGGTTTTTCGGATAAGAATAAAAATTAGTTAGGGTTGTTGTTTACGTCATCAAAATATTTGAAAAATGTGATGAATAATCAAACTGTAACTAGGGTCGGGTGGAGGTGGATATTAGTAGGAGGGCAATGGTGATGTGATGTCCTGTCTAAAAAGGTTCAAGAACACTATCCCTGTAGGGGACTGTTACGAGAGTTCAATAACATTACAAATATGAGAATAATAATCCAAGTCAATGAAACGTTAAATAACAATATATTACCAAAAATGCAGTAACGAGTTATATCAATAAAAAGGATTACTTGGATATAAAGTTTAAGTCCTCTGCTACAAATTATTTATATAATTCACGGGAACGTTAACTGTTTGGGTTTGTGTCTGCTGTGCTCCGGTTGTAGTATTGTCTTCGGTTGAGGATAGTAGACTCCTACAATAGATCCGAAGTATACAACACGATATGAATGGAGCAAGTAAGCAGAAATGGCCAGAGAGAAGGCGAAGTGCCCAACAGCAAATTGTATTTCCATTTGTACACGGAAGTTATGTGTATTTTAACAAGAATCGTTTTAAACAACTCATGTGCAATATCTCTAATTTCTACAAATAATAAAAAGTGTACAATCACATTGTTACGTACTCCACGTCCCTCATAGCTGCAAAAAGGTAATAGTGGCTGTATGAGGAGTGCTATAATTTAACATCTCGCCAACACTGGCCATTCTATCTCAACAAACGCCTCATTCAAAGTGATCTGCAAAGTGAAGAATAACCTACCAAAGGCAGTACGCTTTCGTCTGTTTTGCATCGCTGAAGCCTTAGTCATTCAGCTGTAAAAACCAGAGTTATGCATACAAAAGAAAATCATTCAACCACTTCTTCTATCATGGTAACCACCGTTTTGACTCCTACTGACTTGATGTTTGTGTGCTGGTTTTCTTTTCTAACCTCTTATAACATTTGTAATTTTTAAAACTTTTACATATTTCCATATTTTCCTTTGTATCTCTGTACATCCTGATCACAACTCACTCATTAAACTATTCATCTTATTGCGTAACTGCATAACGCTTATTCAACTTCTTTTATGTGTTAATAAATGTATTTCGACACCACATCACGACTACCCTCTGAGCGACCTTCACCCTCACCACCCTAGTCATAGTTTGATTATTCGTCACATTTTTGAAATGTCTTGACAACAGTAAATCTAACTAATTTTTATTCTTACCGGACAAACCTAATGTACACACACACATACAAAAATAAGTATGCATATAACTGTGGCTGCACAGCTAAGTGAATGATTTCGCCGCCAAAAAGAGACTTTTCACTCGACTATGTGTTTTGTTTTCCTTATATTTAGTCGTTAAAACTTTCTAATCAGTTTGATAATGATGAGTATTCATCATCCACACTAATGCATTTCAATAGTTCTACCAGAAAAATGAAGCTTGAATGCGAAGAAATCATTCCACTACTATATACTCCACATTAAGCTAAAATCCAGTTGTGTAGCATTGACAGTGTATTTGTTGCAATTCGTAGTTCCTAACTGGCTTTGTAATCTACAATAACTGCAGAATGTTTAGACCAAACACTGATATAATATTTCTAACAACTGTGTATACAAATTTACATGTATCTGCGGGAGCAGTTACATTGGAAGGACAGAAAGAAGGGCATATCTACGATTTTCTGAACATGTACCAAAAAGCTTACGTCTAAAGGGAACAAATGCTTTAAATAGTGCCATCACCAGGCATCTTCTCGACACGGGTCATGAGGTGGACGTTGAAAAGTCGTTCAAAATTATCAATAAGCAAAATAGCTCCATTCTCCTTAAGTTTGCTGAAGCCATTTCCATCAAGCGCATGAAACCTGATTTCTGCGTCCAGAAAGAAGCGGTTATCAGCCTTTCTTTGCCCTGGTAACTGGATAATTTCACCTCTCTTTCCTCCGAATAAGAAATGCTAAAAGTTTCCATTGTGTTTGATTATTATTGTTCAGAATAGTGTTTAATATTGCATATATATATATGTATATATTTTTAGTATATGAGTATATTGATCGATTGATTTTTGTTTAAACTGAACTCTGTGCAAGTATGTTAAAATTGTTGTTGTAGATATATTTAATAATGTCTTTGCCATGTAAGCAGCTGACGAGAAGGCAACGAAATAAAAGATGGTACCATTTTATTCTGCTAAAACTGTAGTTCTTGCATTGTTCAAAAACTGATAGGTTTTGCGAGTAAATAAAATGTGGTCTTCATGAGCATTAAAGTCCTTTTTTATACTTTGTAGAAAAAATCAAACTGATAGAATGTTTCGTGTCACCCAAGCCTTACCACATATATCGTCATAAATTCATAGATCCTTTTATATACATACTAAGTTCAGTAATAAATCGGATTTAGTTTTATTTTAGTTGCCTGATCATCTCCTCACTGCTCGTAATACATTCAAATGGAGAAATGGTGAACAACTGTGACCAAACGGAACTGACGCGTTAATTTCTAGACAGCGAACACTGCCGCCTCATACGTAATTGAAGTGCTGAGTCAGACAATACAAGTTCTGGTTAGCCAATAGAACCAACTGGTTGCAAATAGAATACATGTAAGCCCACAGCATTCATATCACTGTCTGTAACATGCCTTAAACCAAAAATCACATCTAGTAAACAAGTAAAACTGGAGAACGGTATTTACTACTGGTTGATATGAATGAGTATTTCGAAAACACTCATTCCAATCAGTGGTATTAGCTGGCGTCCTCCACGTCATCTGTATCGTTAAGCAGACAGTGAAGTACTTTCACAGAGCTCCAAAGCAACCTCAGAACCTTAATTAAGCCTTCTATTCTATTAAGGTTCATTGGCTGCATGATAACATCCCTGCTGAACACCTGATAGTCCTGGGGTCCATCCTCAACGGGATGACTACTGCACACTTCTTAACACAATCGAGCTAAAATAAAACAGACTTCGACTTCAGCGTACCTTTCTATTCTTCTAGGTAATGTATTTGTCTAACAGAATAAAAGCGCTTCTAATTTGACCAACAGGAAAACTAATATTTTTCTCGAAATTTTTCATATAATCACTGACAATATAAATGTTGTCGATTTACCCTCAGTTACAATCAGTTACTGCAATGTTGGAGTCGGTTCACTGAAATGAGACCAACATTTGGACAATTATGCAAAAAGATGGATGAATTTATTTTGGCTTCACAAAATGGGCAAAGTCCTTTCGCTCAACCGTTTGTTGTGTCATTACCACTACCGAAAAGTTTGCAAGGTAAGAATTTGAACTTCTTGTTATATGAATAATGCATGAGATTAAATTTGTATGACAGTAATTTGTACAATCTCGTACTATCGTAATCTACCATGAAGAGAACTGGTTTTTGTAACTAAGCTACTTGTCCATCAGCAATACTTGGTAGCCATGTCATTAGGAAAAATGTTATTCAGTCAAACACGGAGCTACAGTTATAAATATCTATAGGAAAACTGTTGATTTACAAACACCCATTACTACCTTTGTCCTGTAAAAATATCTGTTTTGAATCCGCATTTCGAGTTGTTTTCATGATTCATACTGGGGGATTTAATTACCTCTTAATTAATCATAAACAGAGGCTATTTTCATGAGTGTGTTTGTAAAACACCAGGCGGAAACTCTGAACTCATTTTTTCTTATTATAGCTTGATTCCAAACCATATTTTTGGTACAAGTATGGAATTTTCAGCATGTGATATCGGTAGACAAAATTGATATCATGTGTGTGTCGGCAGGGGATCAAACCTCGGACCATGTGCATGGTCGGCGAGAGTCCTGACCACTGTGCCACCGACGCACAACGTTTGTATGAATTTGTACATTATCCAGGATTCAAAGGTGAAATAACCAGTTAGCTCCAGCCTGTAGGACTCTATATAGTAAGTTGTGTTGTTTATGGGAGTTGCTTACTATTAACTATAATAAGTTCTACATGGGTAGATTTATTTTATGTGTCTGAGATGATTTAATGGGAATTAAGAACTCTTCAAAGATGGATTACGTATTGTAAAACGCGAATAACAATTTAGATTCCGAATTTTTAGCACTGTGATTAAGTAGAACTTTACACTGACTATTTTGCACGTAACATTCTATTTCTCTTAATTCGTCAACAAACGCTAACCAATTCTCATTGTTAATTACAGGCGGTTCAGGTCAACAAGCATCAATTTATGATTCAAACAAGCCACAACATCATGAATCAAACGACTTATCATTAGGCATGCTTTCAAATAATGGTCAGCACAGAACGTCACTGGATGGTGGGCATCCAGTAAGCGACATGGATTCATTGCTAATCAATGAAACGAATTTATCCCACGGCATGAGTTCTAGTAAACAACTTCTCCTGTCATCCAGTACATCAAAAGACTTGAAGCCTTCTACATTTCACAGCAAAAGTCGTTCTTATGCAGAGGCAGCTACACGTGGTTACATTGTAACACCTGGTGTCGAAGGAATTAGTATGAATAAGTTTAATTACCGAGAATCACGAATAGAAAATCAAATTTACACCTCATCAACAGCGCCACTGACTGGTGCCTATGAATGTTCAATGTCTGATCCCTCTACGGAACAAACAACACTAGCTACAACGTCAAACGGCACCGAAAGTAACAGGCAAACATCAATCAAGTCGAAATCGAGATCATTACATGAAAACACAGAAAATACAATTGACAAGAACCTACATTCTACAAATGCAACCCACCCGCAGCAGCGACAGCAGCCCTTTAACCAGTCACCCAGTAAAAAGTTTGGTGTAGAGAATTTAGTACGTCATCAGAGCGATTCAAAGCCAAATCCATATAAGACCTTAGGCTATCAAGATATCAAAAGTACTAATGTCAACAAATACAATGCCTTCAGTAGCATTGCTGACAACCAAAATGATAATAAAAGTAGTGAAATCACACCATTTAACTACACTCATACACACAGTAAATCAATGAATTCGAAATCGGCGAGTATGGTGGACACTATGCCACATAGTAGTAGTGGATCAACTAACAATCGAAGCCTAACTGCTTATTGGCTGATGGAAACTGGCGGTGGTGTTGATTCATTAGGTTACGAGAGGCCTTCGTTAATTCGTACTTCGTTCCCATCTCAAACAAACTCAGTAACTTCAAACAGCGAAAATAATAACGTATCGACATTCATCGATCAAAACTGTAATAATGATTTCCTTGAAAGAGTTATTTGCAGCCACCAATCGTTGAGGAAAACGAAAGTCAACCCTTTGACAACATGAAATGTCAGCATGTTGCGGAAATCAGTGATTATGTGTTAATAAGACAATATCGCACAAAATCGCTCATGAATACATACTACCATAATGAAAGAATGCTGAAAAGTCCTTCGTTATTGTTTCTACTATATTGACAGGATACTAAATAATTATTGTTTTGTTTTTATCCTTTCGACTTCGTTTACGTTTACCAATTCGAATTTATGTTCTAATCCTTGAATATATATATATATATATATATATATATATATATATATATATATATATATATTAGAAACCATTACTTATTTCCTAAATAAGAATCAATTTTATTTCACTGATGTACATGTAAACCTTCTCAAACGTGTTCTACCAAAAACAGAAACTAAGCTTTTCTCTTATTTCGTAAACGAATACTAACAGAAAGACTGTCTACAATTTTAATATTATTGGGCATTTTGGTTAATTTTTACAGTCTGCAGTAAAATATACATCGTTTATAAACACACTACTATATGATATTTAAGTAACCATTGTTTGCACATACAATTTTATAGGTTTAAGAAAATATTAAAATTGAAATCATCACTGTGACATCCTGCAGCATATATTAATGATAAATCAAAGGGATGTACGAAATGTATGCAGTTTGCTATGAATTAGGTGGGGAATATATCTGCATTTGAGGTGTTCTATGACATCCTATGACACGTGCTTGATGACTTTTGTAGTTGACTATTAGAGTATTGAAAATCCCCATTGAGTCATATGAAAAAGAGAAGACGTTCAGCGAAGAGACTCTTTTCGGCGAATTCATTCACACAGTTGTACAATCGCATTTATATATAATTATCTGTGTGTGTACTTGAGGTTTGTCAAGTTTAGATAATTGATCAGGTAATACAAGAATGATCTAATATAGTAACAAGGTTAATCAGACAACAACTAAAGTAAGTTAGATGACGCAATATAATCTTTCAACTTAGGTCAGGGTAGCAACAGAGGTAATTACAGGTAGAGATTAAGTGTAAGTGGGTTAGATAATCTGTTTGTTTTCGACATAGAACTTTGCACCGATGTGCGGCAGTTTAAGTCGCCACTTGCCATTTAAATTAGAACTGAAATTGAGCAAATAAGTTGGATGACGTAACATAAATAACTCCCAATTGAACGTTGGTCAAGTCAGTAAAAGTGGTAGTGAGGTGTAGAAATTAAATCGGGTGGTGGTAGAGGACAAGAAAGTTGAAAATGTAAAATATTACAACTGAGAAGACAAAATAATACTAATGAAGATTCAGACCAAAAAAAGATTAGGTAGAATTTACTTGTCGGGTAATAAGATAGATTACGTCCATTGCAAGTGTAGTGATTGAACGAACTTCTTCTGTATGCAGAATTCCGAACTTAGCAAGTGAATCACCACTGTTTCTGTAGTTTGAAGAAGTCTGATTCGTACACCCTTCTTGATCTTGAAGTTTGTTTGAGGTGTAGCTTGGTGTCCAGATTCTATCAGATGTTCTAAGATGGAGCTGAGGGAGCATCGTTTTTCTCCTTTGTAAAACCATGTTGGTAAGTGTTCGGTGGTACGGTTGGAAAAGAAACGTTGGGTACGGCCGACATACCTGGCTCCACACGAGCAGGTGAATTGATAAATACACATTGATGAGGCCGACAGTGGTAGCTTATCCTTCACTTTGACATGAATCATAGGTTTTGTGGAGAAAGTTAGTCGTAGTTCAGCTGCGAAGAAGGTCTTCTTGAGTGAGCGCGACAGTCGAGTTTTTAGTATTTCCGCAGACATATCTCCATTGAATTGAAGGTTCATGTAGAGTGGTTTCTTCGGGACGCTAAGCATAGGCGGCTTTTGTTGTCTAGGATTCATAGATTTTGCAATAAATCGTTCTGGGTAACAATTCTCGATGAGGATTCTCTTGAAATTGTCCAGTTCATCTTCTATTGTGACCGGAGTGCAAACTCTGCGAGCTCTGTAGCTGAGCGAACGGATCAGGTTTCGTTTGGTGTACAGGGGTACCCAACTGCGAAAGTTAGTAAGCTGTCCGTTCCACATCGACTTTCTGTGGATAGATTTTTTCAGGGTTCCATCCTGTTCTCGTCTTGTTAGTTGGACGTCAAGAAAGGATATTTTGGAGTTGGACTGTTTCTTCAGCGTGAACTGAGTCGCGGGGTGGCAGTTGTAAGACAACTTCAGGATGTTGTCTAGATTTTCTTCATTGTTGATGATAATGGAAGTGTAATCGACATATCTCTTAAAGATTTCGAAGGTGTCGGTCATTTTGTTAAAAATACCACCCACATGGATAAGATGAGGATATATATTGGAGTGTTAATAATTTTGAAGCCGCAAATTTCATTCGCAGTATACATCAATTAATATTTCTGAGCAAGTAATAATATCTGAGGGTAAAAGGATTTACAGGTTAAGGTGATGTAGTGCTTTCAAAAGTGACTCATAAATTCATCTCTATTACACATCCTAGCTAAATCCAAATACTAAACAAGAATTGAACATCGACTACAAACAAAAACAATTCTCATAGCACACTAAAATGTAAAGGTTAACTAACGTCTTTCAAGAACTCTTGTATATAGGATTTTTATTCACAAAAAAATTATAATAAGACATACATGGAAAAAGTAAACAGAAGATTCAGTGAAGGGTCTGTTTCCTTCAGTTTCGTTTACGATAGTTGTATAATCTTAATTACATACAATTTGGTTCACATATGCGTTTAATAATTTTGCGTTCAAAATACTTGTATACATTAGCAAGCAGAATAAATGCAGTTGCTAAAATTAGTGTAGACTAATCAAAACTTGTTGCATGTATAGTGAAGGTGATTAATAAGAGACAGAAAGTTGCTCAACAAGACAAAATGTTTAACAAACGAATTATTATCAAAATAATCACAGAAACAAAAAGAAAGAGGAGTTAGGTGAGAATCACGTCGGTTAAAAGAAAAAGATAAAGGGATTTTTAACATTAAAAGATTATTGCCATGAAAGAATAGGCTGAGTAGGTTTCTCCAGTTTAAACAGCTCCGGTTTCTCTATTAAGCTGCAACAATAGGGATGCAACAGAGACGCACTACTTTTGGCAAGCTACTTCTCTCCTCGGAGATAATTTTTAAAGAAGGAGACTGGAATATAATAATAACTAATGTCAACAAGGTGTTGAATTATCGCGCTTTTTATAGACTTGATTCTAACTAGCCATAACCATCAGTGCAGTGTTCTTGCACTCTTTTGGAAAAAAACGAGTTGAATAACTGCTTTGCCTAATTCTACAGAGATAAGCTTACACAGGGAGTTGGTGATATTGCAGGACTGGATTCGAAAGCACTATTCAGCGTTGCTGAAATAAATGTCCTTTTTATGGAGTTGTAGATGCCTTTTAGTAGGCCGATGACATTTAGGTCACCTTCGAATCCGAAGTTCATAAGCGGCAGCTTCTAGAAAACGCTAGTTAAGTCACACCTCAGAGATTTCCGCCAGATGGTTTTATTCACAGGACGGTTTAGATATCCATTTTCGATAAAGATACTTCTTCCATGGTATAAGGGTTGCATGTATGCCTAATGCACCTGATCTAATTAAATCTCTCTTGCGACTGGCGGGTTTCCAGTAGTAGAAATTTGTCACGTAGCCACTTCATGATAGCTAACTGTGAGCCGATCTCCTCAACGTTTCATTATCTCCCTATAATAACATGCACATCAAGAAACAGAAGCATTCTAATAGCAGTACTGCAGAAAATCATATATTTCCAGTGGGAGAAAACGAGAATTTAGTGACAATGGCTTAGTTGAAATTATACTGCAGCACAATTCTAGACTCCTCTGATCCTGAGTACTTGATTGTGGACTCATTAATTACTATTACAATAATAAAGCAATAGTGGCTTTATTCCTTACCTTAATTATAAGGAATATCCACTTCCAAGGTCAAGTTTTAAAAAAACAAAACAAGACTTATTGAATTCTTATATTTAAATTGTGTATACTTTTTTGTAATGAAGGAAGGCACAAAATATAAAATTGTTTAAATAGAGTTAAGAAGCTGATGATTCCCACAGGAAATTAAGAATTCATTAAATCCATATTAAACAACTTTTGTTGTTCATTCAAAACTTTATTTTTTCTAAAAAAAGCAGTGATTTGATGAAAAAATTTAGGTTTGACATTTTCTTAAGCATAAAACTGGAAAAAAAAAGTAAAGTAAGGATGTGGTTAAAAGTGAAATCCCAAACTGAAACAAACCTAACTAGGAATGATTAGGGTAGGAAAAAACTATGCGGTTTCACGAATGTCAGTAGTTAGACTTACTAAATAGCATTAAACATAGCATCAGATAGGCAACTTTCTACATCAAAAGGGCTCAAATCTTCCTTCTCAGTGTCTTTTATTCAACACAAAAAATGTTCCCATCACTGTCGTATTGGATTTTGTCATAATCACACAAAAAGTATGTTAGCATAGCGAGTATTAAAAAGAATTTTCCACCGGCTTTAGTCAACCTTTTTTTCAAATGAATACGTCACGAAAGTCACTATTAGCATATTTCGAATATGTTCTGCAATATACGGCTTCAACACAGTTTCAACATTCATTCTCAATAAAAAAACGCATTCAGGAAAACTATCCAGCCTGGTTAGCAAAAAGAGAGAACGTAGGAGTGTTTATAACTTGGTAATAGAACCTCTAATGAACTGAGGATAGTGAATTTCATCTGAAAAGTCCATCAAAGTCCGATACAAGATCAGATAACAACTCTGCAAGAGAGAGAGTGAGATCAAGACATCTGGACACAGCTGAAGCATTAGCCAACGCTGTCTGTCTGTCAAAAGAAGTACATCCAACCTTTGTCTACATTATCACTGGCATAACTAGTTAATTTCCTTAATAATTATTGTTCAGTTATGTTTCTTGTCCTAACTTCCTGTTTAGTTTTGGTATTATTACGTTATTCTTTAGAATATAACAGTCCGATGGAAGTAGTTGTGGAACTTCTCCATCTCCTTGTTAACTATTCGCGAATGACTTCGTCGAAAAAAAGTTTCCTTACTGCAACCGTCCTTTTTTTATTTTTCCTATGATCTAGTGTTTACTGAGAAGTATTTCAGATCGGTATGAGGATAAATTATTATCATACTTTTAAAATGAAGCAGTGGCAGCCCAGAATTTTTAAACGACAGAAGTTACTGTGGTGAGAGCTGGATGTTAGTCAAAATTGGTGGACAGTAATTTGCGTCAATGTTTATGTCCCCAATATTGGTCGCGAGAAAAATGAGAACAAAGGCTTTGCGTAGGCGGATACAATTAATGTATAGATGATCTGACATTCAAGAAACAGTCACCAAGAAATGCTAGGTTAACTTTCTGTGAGAAACAACCAATCAGAAGACTTTTTTCTGCTAACAATGATCTATAATAATGTACATGAAAATCTATAAATATGTGTTGAATTCTTTAATAAACGATCTGTTGCCTGGCTCTTGTCTTCTGTTGTTACAACTATTATACACGCACAGAAATGGTTAAATTCGTCAGAAGTTTTCAGACACAGCATCTTAGCCACAAATTTGGTTTCATCAGCTACCCCATTTAATTGGAAGCAGACAATTGGTGAAAGATTTTTTTCAGTCAACGTAGGTAGATACACACTGTGCTGAAACATGGAAGTAACAGACGAAATGAAAGTGTTTGGGGACCTACTAGCTTTGATACTTAATTGTGGTTGTTTCATCAACAGTCACGATAACACTTTCACTAATAAGTGGAGCACATTTACAAACTGTACGAGTATAAAGGAGGCAATTTTCTTGTCACATTAATGAAATTTAAATGTGAAAAACAAACTTCAACATTGTATTTTACCTACTCGATCAACACAAGACTCAAAAAATGTCTTCCTATCCTAGTTAATAAGCAATAACAAAGAAAACGGAAATATTATGATGTGAATGTTTGAAGAATCTGTTCAACTTTCATACATCCATAAAGATTAGATCTTGAATACAGGTCATATAATCCCAAATAAAAAGTTTAGAATCCCTTTTACAATCTCAAGAAAAGAAAGTAAAAAACTGCTAGCAATGTTCACTTCTGTATTCAACTAATTTAGTAGTTATTCTGTTACTAAAATCATTCAATCCTAGACTAAGTGATATGCAGCATTTAGCATCACGAAAATATGAAAGATGAGACATATAATGAGTGTATGCGTCACGGTTTGAGATTTATTATGTTTCGGAGGCTTCTCTGTTTCTGACATTAGAATAAGTTTCGGATGACTGAGGGAACCAAAGGCAATATACTGCTAGTTATCTAACCTACTTGCGATAAGTTGACCAATACTTTTATTATTGATATAAGGATAAAACTTAGGCGCTGTGGTAGTAGATAAAGTCACACAGTATAGTAATATTTACTATTTAATAATGTGTGACTTTATCACGATAAAAATTTTATCCATAATGGAATTACACTTTAATCAGCCCCTCATTAACTTCCAGCTGTTGCTCTACCAAACAAAAAATTCATTGCTAATTATCCACTGGTTTTACGCAATTATAATCTACACTTTTCAGCAACTTGACTAACTTAAATAGCTTCAACATAGGACTTTGCATAGAAGTGAAGGAGTTCAAGTCGTCATTATTCATGTAGCATAACACAAAGGCAGACAAAAAAGATCTTCAAAAGGACTATGGTAAACAGAAAAATGAATAGTAAGAAAGAATAGTAACGCAGAAAAAACATGAGGGTTTATTGGTCATAAGAGACTACAAAGATTGAATACACCCAAGTCATTCCGCCATACTACCAATAGTTTCCATCTATGCAGTTATAGCGTCCACAGGAACTCAACTAGGCAGCCTACACACACCTCCCTACGTAGTTCAAACCCACTGTCACAGACTTCATGGACTGATACCAGGTTTTGGTCTGTGACTATCCAGAACTCTTTTCAGTGACATGAATGTAATGATAAATTAAGTCGGAAAACTATCCCAATATTCAGAACCATATATGAAGCCTTGCGAGGACTAAAATGTTTTGAAATCTTAGTTTTAGTGAATAAAAGTTTGAAAAAGGTACAGCGAAAGATTTTTATTTCAGATTAGTTTAAAGCTGTACAATAACTGGTGCTTCATCTCCATCCCAGTCAAATTCATCAACAGGTATTTCAGTCGTATCTGCAATATGCTTTTCAGGTGAACAAAATGAACTGATCAGATCCCATTTGAATCGTTGTTTTATACTACTAGCAAAACCATCAGCACGGTTAAGAAGGTCTTTCAGTTTATTGCTTGTATCATTTGGAAACATTCCAATATCATAATTACAAACTGAATTGATGTTTTTCAAAAGGCGTCCAAGCATAGTCGGGAGAAAACCCGGTTCAGTTAACTTATTTGTACTTGAGTTAGATGAATCGGTAAAGAAAAGATCTAATAATTCAGCAGTCGAATGACTACTTTCCACTTCTTCTGATTTATTAGCATTATTTAATTGGTGGTAAACAACAGTAATGAAATCTATAAACAATTGTGGATAGTCAATAATTGCTTTTTCACAATTAGCAAGTAACTGAAATATTCGACGCCATTGTTCCCAGCCTTCTATTGAATGATCTAAAATGAAAATATGGACATAAATACGTAGCCAATATCAGGTAATATACAGTGTTGTAAACAAATAATAATTTAGGCTCCATTGGCAAATATGTTGAAAGTACGTTGCTAGTAGAGAAGACAGTTATGGTTATCATAACAAAGTTATAAAGATTTAAACTGAAACACTAAATCAGTTTAATGCAATTACTCTGCTATCTTGCCTTGACTACATTAGCAATAAACCGACCCTATTACGGTCAGTTAGTCACTGAAGTAATGAAACGCAGCACATAACCAGTGCTTCAAATATCTATGTCTTTATTTATATCCATACTAATTAGGCGAAGTGGTTCCCCTATGTTGTGGAACATAAACATGGACAAATATCCGGAAAGATTTATATACTATATTGTAGTCAGTGGTCAATAACTATGTATTAACAGAAGACAAGGGCCAGCAACAGATCGTTTTATTACGGAAATCAACACGTATTTATATATATTTCACATACATTATTATAGCTTATCCAAGCAGACAAACGCAATCTTCTGATTGGTTGTTTTCGAGATTTCTCGAAAAGTGGAGCCATCTATCTGCGAATCATATTTACCCACGTTAAGTTTGCTGTGATTGGTTGTTGAATCAGCCTTGTTCATATTTTCATATCAGTGACCTAGACACTGACGCAGATTAATGTCTACCAATCGGCTAGCAGCCTGCCCTCACCACAACTATATATGAAACTCGAATATACTGGAATCTCAAAGCAAAACACTGTACATTTTCTTCTGAACACACAGATAAACTAAAATATATTTCCCTTAGTGACACGGCTAAAAGATGATAAACTAAAGAAACTTCACTGATAAGATTTCTGGCATTTCTGAAAAATCTAGTTGCCTAACAACGATTAGTGAAAAAACATACTTAGTAGTAAATTGAGGAAGGCAAATTGAAACTCAGCGAGCAGTTCACGTGTAGACTCAGGATTTTCGGCTGCATCAGTAGTATTCTGTGAGGTAAGGTTAGACGTAATTAGATCTAAAACAACATTGAGAGTATAACTTTGATCCATACAATGTGCGGTGATTTCGACTGGAGAAGAAGTGGGCGGATAGAGCGGTTTTCGCGGAAGTACAGTAAAACGTACCTACAGAAAATGAAATATATGGAATATGATAGAAAGACGAATAAGAGAATGTCGTGAAACACCCATTTGATGATAATAATAATAATAATAATAATAATAATAATTTTACAGACAATATAAGAATTTTAAACACCAGGTCACACAAGTTTTTACGTACATCTGAGAAAACAGAGAGGATTGAGTACAGATTAGCTATACGTATTTGTATGAACTGCTCTCCTGAGTGGCTTACTGATATATCAGCCTCAAATTTTGCGCATAAGTGCTTTAATTCAAGCGATCACAATTCCATTGATTACACAAATGAAACAACAAAAGTATGAGACATAAACAGATTTTACTAGGTGAATAATTAAATGAACATTGGCGGGGATTTTCAGAATTTAGAAGACAACAGGAGTATATGTGCATTACTTTGAACCATTTCGAGTTTTTACACATGAATATACAAACGCCAATTCCTAGTATTTAGGTGACCCCAACTAAGCAACCCACCCAACTGACTCACATAAATAGTTACTGACTTCATGAATCGGTGTCACGTTTTGATCTAACCACCACTAACTCTTTACCAACCTTATCCAACTTCAGTCAACACTGTTCTTCATGGAAGCTGGTGCCTTGGCATAGGCGACATACCAATTGATGAAGATGCACAACCTCATAGACTGACTGATCTCTCATACTTAACAGTGTGTAATCTCATTATTACCTATCGTGTCCCACCAAAAGTGAAAGACTGAATGAAGATATGTATGATAAGAGGTCTCTAATTTTTTTATGTCTTCTTTTAGAAGACACGTAACATGACCACAAAATAGAAGAGAGAACTGTTGCATTTTAAATACGCATTCTGATATCAAATCTGTATCAAAGGTAACATATGTTGAGAAATGATAATAAATCCTTTTGTTTTGTCAGAAAATAATCCATGAGAGTTGATGTAATTTCCCAAAAACGTTGTATACTAATCATACCATACATCTGATACGGATGGGATGTGTCAACCATACTCCAGTGTTCGCTTACGACACTCGTAAGATTACATTCTTTTTAATGAGACTACAAACAAAAATGCTGAATTTCATAACACGTTAAAGCACAGTGACTCGAACTGCTGCACATCGGTGCAAAGTTCTATGTTGAAACCAGTTCGTCAGTCAGTTATTCAAAGCACAGTTTCACATACGTGCTAACTTCTACCTTACTACTGCCTAGTACCAAGCTTCTTTATAGAGGTCTTTCAAAGACATATCATCTACGCGCTTTAAATTGTCCAGAAAGTCTCTAGTTTGAAGAGTAATTGTACGAATTCGAACGAATGATTCCTAGTCAGAAAAAGAGTAATATACTTTATCAATGACCTTTGCAATAGTTAACGCAGAAAACAAACCAATAAGTCAAGTCTCCGCCTTGAGTGAATATGTAAATAAATTTTCCTCTCAGAATGTGAGAACCAAGTGAAGACTTGGTTAATGCATTTACTGCTAAAACCTGCACCATTTGTCCACCTTATATGTTGAAGAACTTCGAAATCTTAAAAACCAAATCTTCGTTCTGTAATTGTCACAAAGGAATCAAAATCAAAACTTTTGCTTGGAATAAAACGATAACACTAGTATTTCATAAGGATAAAAAACATGGATACCCTTCCCATCATCTTTGGAGATACAGACCTCATTGTAAGACACATTCAGTTCATAAGAATCGTCTAAATCAAAACTAAATCCGCGTGTACACGAATTAGGTTACTAGCAAGCTATTCCGAAACAGAGATAAATGATAGATGGCACACAACATTTTAACCTAGTTTTAGAATACATTCAGAAGTATATCAGAGTTTTGAGGATCTTTTGAGAGCGATGGCTCCACAGCTAAGTATTCACTCAGTCAAAATATTTGTCCAAACCCTTCGTCATCTAAAATGCAGTTGTCATTAAAACTCCAGAAGATAAATTAAATAAGTGAATAAAAAAGATTAATCTCGTATCTTGAAAATGCTTTTATGAGATATACCTAAAAACATAAATCCACTGTGAATTGTTGGTATTAGATAGTTGGAGGCAATCGGCAGGAAGCATTGGACCTAGGTCTACTGCAAGTTGGCAGTCGTCAGCATGGAGTATCTGCAACCTTGAAGGAACTAATGTCTCTTCTGATATTCGCATCCACCTCATCCAGTGATGCAGTCAAAGACGTTACCACTGAGCTATTGGGGTTCAGATGATAATTTCACTTTTAACTTCACCAAAGTGAAATCCATCTCACATTCTACTCAGAGATGGATAAAATAAAAACTTTTATAAAACAGTTAATTAGATAAACTTAGTGACTATGTTTGATATTCTAAAGACAGAGTGCAAAATTATGATGAATTGGGAATCACACCATCGGAAACTTGCATCTCTAGATTCACGAGTTAACCTGATAATTTCCACACTGACACAACCAACGATCTAAGAGTTTTTAGGTATAGTCTTCTATATCTTGTTTCTGATTTAGATTTAAGTTAATTGACATCACTTCGTATGAGCAACACAAGTTCCCGCCAGCGCCAGCAAGTACTACTGGGTGACACAAGTGGTTTCCGAATACAAGTAATGTTTAGTAACGCATACTACTAAACTATCTCACTTGCTTTCTCGATTCGCAAGCAAATCATATATTGTGGCTTGAATATTTTAGGGGAGGCTGTTTTCAACATCCTATACCAATCTAAAACAGCATGAGACATTTTACATTTGTTATAAAATTGCGATAAGCATAGAAACTATCCATCCCCAACAAAATGTTCAGTATCACTCATATATGAAATTGTTACGCTCAAACAATGCATTGAAAAGTATCAGAGGACTAACACGAATAACGATTTTCTAGTAATCCTTTCTTCAAATACCAATTTATAGCTAAATCAGTAATCATCCTAAGTGGAATTAAAACAGAAGGGTATCTAATTTTAAAACAATACTTACTTCAGTCCCAGGAATGATTTCCAAATTTGGTAGGTCCTCTGTGTTTTTATTTTTTGAGCAATCAACCCTATTGGCTTTCTTAATCGCTAGACGATCTTCTGTATTGGAAGGCACAGACAAAAAGTGTGGACATGAATACAGACGGCCGCAACGTGGGACAAGACGACTTAACGTATGTGTCGTTATAAAATTAGATAATGAAACCCAATCCCTGTACCTGGATAACAACAAGACGGTATTTTAGAGAGAAATAAATGTTTCTGAAAAATAATTAGAAGTCTGAAACTATAAAAACAAAGTATTTAGTGAAATAATAAAAGAAGCAAACAGTCAATTCGTCTTTGCATGCGGTCAGAATATAATTAACAGCATACACATATACTGGTCTATGTGCCAATACAATACATTACCTATTTCACCGCAATCCTATAGAATCTTGAAATCATCTACAGCGAAAACTTAAATATCTTTAGACGACTAGTTTACAGAAAAAACAAAGTCCTTATGGCAGAATTCTTGGCACACACGGCTACCCTCTAGACTTCAGAGTCCTCTTCGTTGCAGTCCATATACCCATCACCATATTGAACTAGAAGAACGCATATGCAGTGTAATTTTTAACACTAACTCAAATATTACGTTCATGAACCGGGTGTTCATCAAAAATAAACTATTCAAAAGACCGAACAAAAAGTTTGACCGAAACACTAATCCCTAATTGAGGAACTATAAAATGAGATGAAATTTCAGCTATTCGTTAGTGACCAAACGCAGGAATTATACCCTACTTTGATGGTCTCGCATTTCATTAGCTTAACAGAAGGAGCTTCACCCTATTTAGTTTATACCGCACAGACCACACGAAAGTCCACTGGTTCAAGTTGCCCCACTTTATAAAGCACACAAAGGTTAAAAAAAGAACGCGGGGAAACTAAAATAAACAGAAATGTATGGCAAAAAAAACAACTACATGGAAAATAATGATAATTCAATGGATCTGAAGCGTCGGTGGTATAGCGGTTAGGACGCTCGCCAACCATGCACATGGTCCGGGGTTCGATCCCCGGCCGATGCACTCCTTTACCTCGCTAAGCCAGAAATAATGCTGGTAAAGAGGAAAAGTTGGGCATGAGGTTAGCAACCCCATCCTGTAAAATAAACACTGCTTCAGAAACTTCAAGCCACTAGCTTGAGGCCCTATGTTCCACTGGGAACGTGAAGGAAAAAAAATGGATCTGAAAGATTAACGAAACTGAATAAATCTGTGCTATAGAGAACAACCTTGAGCCATGTCACTGACAGTCTCCAGTCATCGCTTCTTAGCGTCTCAAGGACCACAATTAGGCAGCCTACACCCCTCTACGCGCCTCAGAAGAACAGCCAAAGACTTCATGGATCCATACCAGGTTTTGATTTGATCAACCCTAACCTATGTCGGCTAACACTGCTCAACGAAGAAGACGACGGAATGGCGTGAGTAACGCATGTACTAATCATTTCAATGGCTGCAGCTTGACATCCACATCGATTGGTTTCCCCTCCTTACCTAACACTACTCTTAACCTCACCATACTGTGCTCGGTTACACGCGGAACAAAACACAGGAACTTGTTGAAAACAACTAGTCTCTTCATGTCAGCCACTTCCAACGATTGTGCTTCACATCCATAAAGGAAGATGAAGAGAATTTTTGGCGTAGTATATACATCCTTGGATCCATAGCTGGATATCGCGTTTACGCCAGACATGACGTGAGTTGGCAAATACCACACAAGCCTTCTGTGACTGTGGTGTGGTTTCTTTTCTAGTTAATCCACTAAGACCTTACATCTGACAGGGGAGAACCACATGCCAGGTATTTCAAAACTTTTACTCAATGTGTTCAGAAAATTTCATTTTTTTCAATGTCTTATGTGTACGTTCTAAATGGACAAGATATGTCAATCCCTCAGTCACTAAAGTCGATTAGGGCAACGTAAATTAGTATATCTACTATGAAATTAGACAAAAATGGAGACATTGGGTACCCTTGACGTAAACTACTGCCTGTCGTCATTTCAAGTGGCTCTTTCACAGTCGTGAGTTCCATTAGTGTTTCGATTAGTGTGGGGCACTTTCTCTGCACCCCCTTCACATCCAGATGTTGCCACAGCATCTTTTAGTTGATGGCATCAGATCCCGCCTTCAGGTGAAGAAATCTGGCACATGGTGAAGGCCAGTAAGTATGTCTATATTCCCGGATGTAAGGGTGAAGAGGGTGAAAGTATGATGAATAAGACCTCGTCCGAACGTGAAGCCTGCCTGGTTTTATAGGTTCGTTTCCCTAGTGCACCACTTACTCTAAGCAAAATTAAACTAGTGTACGCAGAAACTCTTTAAATAAGTTGAAAAACTAGTATGAAAAATGAATTATTCAAAATATACTTCTAAAACAACCATTAACTATGTTGAGTATCACTTTGGAAATTGTTATATAAACGAATACTCATGGGAAGCGATCCTCTTTTACACAGGAGTAAAGGAAATAACACAGGGGTCAATACACCTTGCAAGACTTGAAAAACTTTATGTTACTCAGATATATGTCCTAGAAAAGCAACACCAATGATGTTCACTTTGAGATGAATAAAAACTTACGACTCCATGGGATACTGTCCTAAATACATGGAGACTTCGGCAAAATTAGAAGATAAACGCTCTATTTCATCATGAGTTAAATCAATATCAATGAAATCTAAGCGAGAAAAGGAAGAGATTATAAATGACTTTCAAAAGTAAATTACCCTCTTCCTCTCTTCTCCATCTTTTAACAATAAAACCGGGTTGAGTGAAATTCGCTATAAATCCAATACGTTGACCAGACATACAATCTGAATTTACGGCGCTGTTTAAATAAAAGACAAACAGGAAGGGAAACAGACAAGTTTTATATGAAGAATATGAAACCTCATATGAATTCAGAACAAATTATTGCTTAGCGAAAACAACAGACCTATGCAGAGGTAGAGTAATAATCTACTTCCACTTTGCCAAAGTCAGTACCGTATGTAAATAATATACATTATAAACCACAACCATTAACGTGAAAATATCTGTATACAGTCAATTCAGATGTATTACATAAATTAAAGGAAAGCTAGTTCGTGATTTTCGTTGTTTCTGATAAATGGTTACCCTAAATATTAATTGTTTATTAATGTCTTCGTCTTGTTGTATCTTCCCCATTAAATAATTTGCTTTCAATTTTTCCAAGTGTACGATTTTTAGTATTATTTTGAACTGTTTTTCGAAATGAAATGGTAGAACTTCCTGAACGAAACAAAATGATACAGAACTAAATACGAATGAACTGACCGTGTGGACCTACCTGTAGTAGACAGAGTGGACTCCTAAGGGTATGTCCTTGATACCTTTGAAATGTCTCCCAACCTTCCAAAATTTCATATCAATACCCAAGTCCGTGTTTTCAGGTACATCATGCAAAATCAGATGGCAACTCATCACTTGCTTCGGCTAGATTCCCAAAGAATGAAGTTGACTACACGTACTATGATAAAGGTACTTCTCAACTTAACACGACTCTATGAAGCTTGAGTATTTGTTGATTATCAGAAGGTTCAACAGTTATGTATCACTGTTCTTGTTTTTACACTGGCAAGGTCACCTACAGTCTAAGATTAAGAGGTGAATTTAAAAGAAAGGGAAATAAATATATACTAAAGATATATATATATATTCATGGAAAATTCCCATTGTAACATTTAGAAAATCAAAACAAGTGATTCAGCGAAGAGACTCTTTTCAACGAATTTATCATCAAGCTGTACAGTCGTATATATATGGTTTATCAGAAGTTATATCCGGTGAGGGAATTGAATCTTAGGTGTGAATGCACAAAATAATAATAATAATAATCATATGAAGTTCGATTAAAACTAAAATGTTTGTGATTATAATCGTAGTTAAATGTCAAGTGGCAAAGCAGATTAATGTCATATATAGAATAATTCATAGGAGGGATAGAACTTGAAAAAGGATGTGCAATTATAGGATTAGTAGGCAAATCGAATAAAACAAAAACGTTACGTAATATTGTGGGAAATTTAATAGCATAGAGTTTATCGTTGTAAAAACAATTGATTTAGAATGACAAGTGGAACAAGTGAAATAATACCGGGGACAGTTCAAAGTGAGAATAGTAATAATAACAATTGACTTAATAAGGAAGAGTATACAAATTGAATAGACTGTACAGCTTGATGATAAATTCGTTGAAAAGAGTCTCTTCGCTGAATCACTTGTTTTGATTTTCTATATATATATATATATATATATATATACTAAAGTGGATATAAACTAAAAGACGTTTTTGAAAAAGTTATTGCATAGAGCTTATATAAACAATGGCCATATAAATTCAGATACGTGTTCTCTGGCATTCACTAAGAATTCTAGACATTTGTGAATACTTCAGTAACAAGCAAAATGACAGACCGTACGAACAGAGTGTTTAATAAATGACAATCTTAAGTGTATTGATCAGCATATCTCCAAAACTATCAACAACACTACTAAACGTTATAATTAAATTTCACTACAAGGATGAAGCCAAAAGTTATTATTGTGATGCGCTAGAGCATTGATTTATCCCGACTACCAATTTTTTTCATCTAAATCAGCCCACTTTCGGTAGCAGAACAATTTGGTATGAACCACAACCACCTATAGCAAGAGAGGTTTATAACTGGTGAGACCAGAGAAACGACGCAGGATAAAGCTAACAGAGAAAAACGAAACCTTATTTTACTCTAGGCCTAGTCATGAATAAAAACAGTCACAGTATTAATTACCCAAATATGTGGTTCCTCTATGGCCTTAAATTCACTTAATCACTTGTAAGGAAGAGTCAACATGGCAACAATGAGCAAACGCTCTTCAAATGGTCGATTGTCACGCAAGTAAATTGAATTTATTCCACGACTTGACAGCGAAAGTTTCAGGCGTGATGGAGACTAACTTTTATAAGTTTACAAGTGTTTGTCGGAATCCTAGAGTGGAGAAATTGTCGAATTCCGATCTGTAATAGAGACATATCTTTTATTACATAACCTCAGGGGAGTCCGCCTGAATAGTATATTTTCTTACAGCTTTTAGAAAATAAAAACAAACACAGGAATATACAGCTGCGAATGCTCAAACAAAGATGCAATGATCGAATAGATGTTCAGTCTACAACGCACTTTACGACACAAACCTGTCATATTTTGGACAGACCATTTCGCTGTGAACAGTGTCAAAAGAGCGTGTTACGCTGATTAAAGCACTTGACTCGAACCCAAGAAGTTATGCAAAAGGAAGGACAGCAGTCACCGATGTTTAGTATTACCGTTCTTAATTTCATTGTAGACAGCCTGATAAATCAGCACGCACACTCCCTCCGATGGAGAGGATGGAGTATTTTAGACACTATAAGTAAATGTACGAATTTGTAAGGAGCACTTTTCTTAATGAAGCATCACGTGGTACTGCATAACTGGTGCAGACGGATTTCTATTTTCGAGGTAAAGATAGGCTTATTGTCGTCTTTCTCCCAATATTTTGAACTCTCCTACATAATGGGGTAGACGACTACAAATTCCTCATAAAAAATACAGAAACTGTTGGTCCTATAAGTGTAACCAAGGCAATACTACATCTCTGCAAATATATCTACCAATAAGTTTAATATGGGATGGTACACATGCCTATAGGCATGTGGAGGCTTGCGAAAAACATATGTTAAGCTAAAATCAGTAGAACCTGATCACTCTAAGTAATTAGAACAATTGCCCAGTCTGTGTGCAGTTTAGTGAAAAATAAAACAAAGCGGGAAACGTGCTCAGGCGTTAAAAATGAGTGTAGCCCAAATAATCACATGAACCGCCACTGGGCAAAGATCCGAACCTAAGTTTTCGACTGAACTTGTCCGTCACGTTCAAGGTCATTGGTAGAGTAAGAGACCCGATCATTTTCCTCCATCTTGCAAGTACACCTATGACCCGTAATAGTGCAAATTAATCAAAAATCTAGGACTAAAGTGAAAATCCTTGATTATTTTTCATTCTATGGGGGGGGGGGGGTTATTTCATAGTTTATTGAGACAAGCTAGGCCTTCCGAAGTTAGCTATTCTTGATGATGGTGGCTTACTGAACGTTTTGCCAGTAGATCGGTATTTTCAGAAAGTATTTCACATTACATAGACCATATTCTGTCATCAGATAGTGGCGTTTTCCTTGCTTTTCGTATATGTTGTTATCGTGATTTTCATGTCATTCTAGCTGTAGCGAAAGATTATCCTTCGGAATCTGAATCAACGTCAGACATTTGGTCAAGACCTTAATTATTTTAATGATTCCATTCAACGAGAGGGGTTAGTAGCGTAACTTTTCATGTGGCGTGAGTCTGTTTTACGTAATCTGTCTGAAAACGTCAGATCTTCAGATGATTGATAGAAGGATATCTGCTCTGAGGGAGTGGTTTCAGACCACTATTTAGTACAAAGGACTTTCCCATACACAATGTATCTGTCATGAGCACTAGAACACAGAAAAAGGAAACGACCGAGTACCCAACGTCAGCACTAGATAAAATAACACTTATTACTTTGTATCGAAACAACATGCACCACATTTCGAAGCCGATGTCAGATCAACAAAGACGGAATCACAAAGTTTTCACCGACTGAGTTAGGGAGATCTGTATATGCTGAAATCGATATCTTCACCACTGAATGTGACACTTGAATGGATGGACATGTCAGTGTTTATCCTTGCGCAGATCTGGCGCCTTTTACAGTTTTCGCGAAAACTCTAATTTTCTAGTTAACTGAAATCCATTGTGAATGACAGCCCGTGTTCACCGTAGAAGTTATACTCTACCATAGTGCCCAAGTTTTATACTCCTGTCAATAGAATTAATTCCCTCAAGCTATCTGTTCCAAACCAAAACTGCTTTTCCGATGGTTTACTTTCAGGGGGAATTCTCTAAAAACTCTGAGTAAGGAGTCAAATTCTAGTTCGGAAATGAAACACCATATAAGGTCACCTGGTGAATTTTACTGAAAAAATATTAGGAGTTGCTTGGTTAACCGTCTCACTTGCATGAAAAACCAAAAGGCTCACAACTTAAACAGATGTAGTCGCGATGACTATCAGACAACTTCTTGGCATGCAAACGTTCATGAGAGACCTTACATTATCAAAACATCCTTTAATAGAATAGTTCTTGTAACCGTGACAAAATGACTGTGTGTTGTTAAGAATACTGAGTAGTGCTAGATAACTGGAACAGTTGCCTAAGTTGTTTGATAACCCCAGTGATTGTGTCGTTATTCTTCCTACTAGATTGGAGTGAAATTATCTCACATACTTAATGTTATTGGGGGGGTAAGGTACTTGGAGGTCATTTTCGTCCGTGGTTTTGGACCGTGTTGGCATGCAGTTTGCTGGTCATTATTGAGAAACTAGTTTTAGTGTTTGTCCCGCAGTTTCCTGCAACTTATCTTGATGTAGGTAATTCATACTGTTGCACACTAAATCATTTCGGTGTTTCCTTCCTAATAGAATCAGTTTTCCGTTTGTGTCGAAATTCTTCGCCATTAGGTCTTGAAGATGCCACATTTATCAGGAGGACGGTGACCGCTATCCAGCGGATATGGTTGTGGGGACCTAAGAGAAACACCCGTATCTGTGGGAAAGCGCCCTATTGCTAAGGCTCCTGAGTTCGAATAACTTCAACATAAAGAGAGATAAAAACCGCCTGCATGCAACAGCTTGGGTGTAAACTTTCTGGAAACAAGCTCATGGCATGATTTTTCAGCTTTAGAAGGACACCCAACAGTACAAATCAGAATGACAGTGTAAATATTACGAAACTTTTGCCCTTCTTCTACATATTTTATCCACTTTGCCGTCTGGATTTAAATTCTTCAGTATCTCTTCCCAACATTGATCTATGTAGGTAGGGAAAATCCACATTCATTTCTCTTCTACTTTTTCACTTAAATAAACTTGCATTAGTACGAAACACTATAAAATTTAGTGACCATAAATTTAATCAATAAAAAAGTGAATGAACCCTGCGCCCATCGCATGTTGATTGTTTAAATTGTTAATATTTGCTGGTCACACCTACATCTCTCTTGCTACGCCGGGCCTCTCGCTGCCCCCGAAGCCATTCAGAAACGCTAAGTACTAACGGAGGCAAAAACCAAAACACCAATTGGCGACTCGAGAATTCTTTATTCTAACACCAACATATAAGCAGCATAATAAACTAAGGTCTGAGAGCAAATATCACGACAATAAATCACGAAATTACTTCTGACAGGTTTTAGGTTCTTTCTGAACAGCGACCGATGAGACGATGACTGTCGTATTGATGCTTCCGCGAAAATTGGGGAAGTTGGTTTTGAGCAAACAACCATGAATCGATCGTTCAATCTTCAACTACATTGACACTCCCCGCCATATAAAAGATCCATCCCTTTTTCCCATCACGACCAATACACGTTGACTTGGATACCACGGACAGAGCTGAAATGGAAAACAAACAGAAAAGCCAACACACCACAAGCATACCAATAGCACAATCTCACAAATCGATGACGACCTGCACCTTCCAGTTAAAAGCATCCTGTTGACATCTTGTAACGCAATCTCCACTTGCTAGAATGACTCTTGCACAACGCAACGTGACTATAGCAGCACTCTTCGCACATCCTCTTATCTATTGACTATCAATTACCACTGCAATCGCTTGTCACTCATTCTGCCTTAGTTCTAGGGCAGCCCGCAGACGGCCGTAATTTTGAGTGACCGCGAATGAGATAAACAAGCGATTCGCTCGCTTGTGATTGGCCAGTTTGTCATTCGAGTTGAGGTAATTTCAAACATCATTTTGCTGCTTGGTTAAGTTCTGAATTTCCGTGAGCGTTTTATCAAATTGGAGAGATAATTGACAACACAAATTATTACAGCTCAGGAAAGAAATGATATAGCAGTGGATTTATTTGCTGAATTCAACGAATTCATGCCAAATTAAGATCTAAGGACTTCTCAGGAGTGTCAAGAATGCAAACAATGTTCTGAAGAGGTAATAACTTCACGCAACTTCAATTATCGCTTGACCATTATTTTCAGAGATCCTTAAATAAGTATAATATACACAGTGGTCTGGCTAATCATGATAAAAACGGCATGGTTGATGCAGCATATACGTATACTTTTGTATATGTAGGTAAACCTAGATAAACTGTGTTCTTGTCACGAA